GTAATAATAAATAACTTTTTAGATATTTTAATCAATTTCTATATAATAAGGTAACATGAAAATGATAAAATGTATCAATCTGTATAACTCAAAATATAGAGTGAACAACTTATTGTGAATCACTCAACATCTCACTGGTTTTAATACAAATTTAATTTATTCTTTACATTGTGTTTTTATTCAATGTTATTACAATATCTCATCATTTTATTTATTTTTACCATCATCCGAATTTTTTTTTAAAGCAACTTTTGAAACTTAAATGGTAACGCATTTGTTTCCTCAACTATTAAACGAAAATAATAAATTAAATATTTAAACTGGTTGATAACTAATTTTGGACAAATATTATAAAGATATACGAGTTTAAAAACTAGGGTGGTAGGGGAAGTGCGGTTGGAAAATGCCGAAACTCCTGCCCTAAACTTGAAACTCCAATAACTACAAACTTGGTCGACCAGTCTACATTTTTAGTACATTATTCTCGATTTAAAATGATAATGAAATGTATACGTTACAATTTAAAATTTAAAAGATGCTATGTATATGGTGATAAATTGAGATCACGTTGCATAAAAATAAAATTATATTTCTTAATAAAATTAATGAGATATTGAGTGGTTCACGATATATTGATCAACTTGTAGTTATCTAATAAGACCAAATAATTGATTTTCATCCCTTAAATCCCTTGACGTTCTGGGAATTGACAAACTTTTGTTTTGCACTGCCGGATTTGGGTTTGCCCACTAAATTATATAAAAGCTATATTATATACATACACTTGCAAACATTTTCAAATCAACTTTTTTGGTCGGCGTTATCGTAAACGTCTTCATATTAGCACTGTTCGTGGACATTGTCAACAACAGCAACTTTTGGAAAGATAAATCTTGATCTAACCAATTGCAACTGTACAATGAGAAATTCATCGAGTTTACCTGTAACCAAACAAGGTAGGTATTTTATATAAATTATATTATTATAAGTATGACATTTCTGTTTTTATATACTGAAATGGAACGATAGGCAAAACACAAATTATAACGATACTATAGTGCCTAACACAATTTTATTTAGATGTAATGATATAAAGTAAAAAAAAATTAACCTGGTCGTCCACAAGTCCACAAAATTTAGTTAAGATGAACAACCGTAGTACTCCGAACATCAACGAAAAAAAATGTTTCATCAGCAGAACAGACATAATCGATATCCCGTTAAAATAGTTCTGTTAAATTTGTATTAAATATCAGCGTACTAATTCAAAGATAATAATTAAAAATAACAATATTTAAATATTACCGCTACATAGGCATATGTAAAACAAATTAATATGCAAGAAGAAGTTCCAAGTTGACAAACAATTATTGGCCGAATAGTATCGAACAACTCTCTCATTACACTAAAAAAAAACCAGGAAAATGCATAATAAATTAATTAATAAATTTGTAATAAACAGTGTAAGCAATTTATAATACTATATCGTTGCTGATACTGTAACAACACCTATCTCAGTTTCCATGATTTTACAGTAGAGCACTAAAACGTTGTGTTGTCATTTTTGTTATTTACAGTCTAACCAGTTGACTTATAAAAAAAATCTTTTAACATAATATACACGTTTTATATTAATTTATTGATATCCACAAAATCCTAATTTTGTCAAATTTTGAGATAGGTGTTGTCGCAGTATCAGCAACGATAAGTTATTTTGGTAATAATATGAATAGATTTCATAATAAATCATAGCCTGATTTTAAACCATAAGGCAACAAATCTTGAAGACTCCTTTTCCATAAATTAAATAAATACCTCTCCTTATTTAGATTTTAATTTTTATTATATGACGATGAAATAAAACATAAATAACGCAAAATATCTACATGGTAACCATCCCAATTATGTTTTTTCTGAAAGTGCAGCTTCACAAAAATAATGTTTAATTTTTACCGTCACTACCTAACTTATTTTGTTATTAATAGTTTGTAAATGAAGCGAGTCGCCTTTTCAATATCGCCTAAAGGCAAATATGGCAAAGTAATAACTTAACTCACCATATGACCTTGGCGTGATCCGATGAAATCGTTTTGAATTGTTCGATTAACGTTAACGATTTATCTGAAATACAAGTTTATTTATTCGTATGATAATCGTATGGCGTATGGCGTTTTTAATAAGTATTATTGGCTTGGGAAGTATAGAAATCAATAATTAGTGTGTAGATAGCTAGGTAATGCGGACACATACTTTCAGTTTTTTCGTATCCCAACGAGCTGTACGCCGAAGCGATTGTTTTCAGATGTGCTACAATTGACCAGCAGAAAATAACGAGCACCGAATCGAATAGCACAAAGCCAATGAAGCATTGCGCAAGTATAACGGCTTCGACAATGTAAATGATCGGGTGCAGTTTATTGTACATGTCGACGTTTAACGGATACAGCAAATTGTTGATAACACTGTTCTTGTAAGTCACCGTGTCGCCATTTAGATTTCGTACCGTATAATCAGTGAAAAACGCAGGGTAGATCAACCAATTCAAAAGTATCGCCAAACACAGTGTGGCGTATGTGTTTGTGACTGTCAACGACTTGGTTTTGTAATACTTCACCGTGTCTGTCTTGTAATGTCGGTAAGATAAGAAATCGTTGCGCATTATGTCGAAACATTTCCAAATGACTTGGGATTTTTGACCGACTCGGACGACGTTCAGTAAAGTGTTAAAACCGCCTACACATAGCATCCACAAGTTTAGCCACTGGTTAAAGTCGTTTGTCCAACCAACGAAGCCGGGCACGCTAATAATCAAAAATGTTCCGTCGAATATTGCTGCTAAAATATGAGCCAATCGATAAAGTTTATATCCCCAAAACGTAATCGAACCGTCGTTTTTAATTGGATTCAGCACTTGATACAGACCGGTTATCTTCATTAATCTCACGTTAGTGATAAACGATTTGTCTTCGTTTTTGAGGGTAGTCATTTTTTTTTTCAGATATCTAAAAAAAAAACAAATACAATTTTGGTATAGAATTTATGCAAAAAACGAATCAATAATAATTCTATTGTAATTTTAAACGGCTTTAGTTCTATATTCTGGCAAATCTAACCTTTAAAATTGAGAATAAGTCATTAATCTTCGATTTGTTTCAAGTTTTAGGCTGGTTGATAGGTCGTAAATAGTATTATTTTTATCTGTGCGCACTACCCACCTACACTTCCTCTTCTAGTCTAACTTCCAAATTCTTAAAATTTTTAAAATAATTGTTCAAAACATTTTATCAATCAGTCTAAATGTATGCGTTACCATTTGAGTTTCAAATGTTGCTATCATAAAACTTAAGCTGGGGGGAGCAGGTGACATAAAAAATCTTGGGTTATTGAGATATGAAAAAAAATAAGCAATTGTGGTATAGAATTCATGCAGCAAACAAATCAATAATATTTTCATTGTAATTTTTAACAATTTTAGTCCTATTCACACATCTTTTTTTCTTTTTTTTTTTGTCTTGCTTTATTTACAATAAGTATCATACATTTAAGTATCAAAAGTCGCTATCAAAAAAAAAGGCGAACAATTTTTTTTAGGTTATTGAGAATTTAATAATTTCTATTCGACAGTATAATGAATTAAATTATTATTTCTTCAAGGCAACTTAACTAATCTTAAATCAATTTACTATACTATCAATTAATCTTGTTCAGCAGCAGTCGAAAAGTACACTTATTTTGACTGTTTTTGCGGGAAAGCCAAAGGATACTGACAAAGGATATCCCAATATAAATAGATATTAGGCATTCGTGTGTTCATTTTATACTCATAGAAGCACAGTTGTATGACCTTCCAGGAACCCAAATCTGTTTTAGGTTAGCTCATGTGCCATAGTTGTAGCATCAAGTTCCGAGTATGAGCGACTTACTAGTTGGTCCGACAAATTATTGGTACATGAAAACTTTGTAACATGAAATCAGATAAAACATTTTAACATATTTAATTTTCACCCGTATAGAGTGGGCAGGAAACACGATAAAAGTGGCCAAAATTTAAATTAATCTGGTAATGCATATGCAGGATGATTCATTAAGGATAAGACACTAATTTTCTCGAAATAAATTAATAATTTTTCTCAAGATTTTTTGGTACACATTGTACTATATTTTGAAAATTTTTATGACCAATCCTTGTAGGCCAAAAAGGGCGATTTTTGTTTTTTTTAATGGCAATATATGTTATTAATTACATAAATTTGTAGAAAAAAAATAAAAAAATATTTTAGCGTTTGAATTTGAATTTATTTATTTAATATATGTTCATTTGTTATGACATTATAAAAATTATATTTTTGACTGTATTTCTTAAATTATTTTGTTATACTTTTGAATCTGATATCGATTTTACTGTATAATACAATTTTCTATCAATAGCAAATAGCAGTATTTTTATGGACCTATCACATATCTGAGGTAAGTCACTAATAAATAAAAGATCAAAAAAGCACAAACTCTAAATTTGAGCCTTGAGGAACGTCAGAAGAAACTCGAAATTCTTTAGATAGGTACATAAAAAGATAGATTAATAGCCTCAAAACGATCATTAAGGTGAAAGGAAACCCACTTTAGGAAGTGAGCCGAGCCACCAAATGAATTCAATTTATATTAAAAGATAAAAGTACCACTTGTCCAATTATTCTCAAATATACTCCCACCTCGACTTTCATAACTTCAGGGGCGTATTTAGATATTTTTTTTTGGGGGGGGGGGCTGAGGCATTCATTAAAAGAGCTGTGTAAAGAGTTATTTCTAAATTCTGATCCAGAAATAAACTTTAAAAATTTGGCCAAACTTACCCATTTCTCAACCTATTAAAAACAAGACTTCGAAATTAAGTGTAAAATTGTAATATTATAATTCTGATATAATTATTATTAGTTACACAATCTCAAGTCTTACAAAATATTATATAATAAAATAGAAATTATAATTCTTATTAATACTAATTATATTAAATTCAAATTTCTCTCTTTACCACTGTTGGCAAATTTGTCTAATACCATATCATCATTTACATCAATGTCTCGGTGAATGGATAAAAGTGCTAGTCCTACTAGCCTGGACTCAGAAGTTGTATTTCTTAAATATGTTTTAAGTCTTCTAAGAGTAGAAAAGCTGCGTTCAGCCGTAGCGGTGGATACTGGAATTATAGCTAGTATTTTTAGTAATTCAAATATGTTAGGGTACATTAAACGATCACAGGCTCTTAGAGCTTCTATAGCAGTTGCAGGTCTTAAGTTTTCTTCAATATTTTTCCATTTAGCCTGCCAAATTTCATACTCTGCTTCTATAATGTCGTTTAGCCCAGGTAAATCACTTTTATAAAATTCGACAGCTTTTTTTAAATTAAAAAATGGTTTTTCAACTATGATACGAGGTAAGACAAATTGTAATGAAATTATAGTTTCATTATGAGGAAAAAATCTTTCATTTAATGCCATTATTAAATCGTCCAAATACGGTATAAAAATAGTTTTTTTGTAAAAATCTTCAATATTATTAAACGGGACATTGCTTCTATTTTTTTGATTGCTGCATGTTCGAGGTATTTTTGGTTCAACATTTAACTTTATAGCAATACCTTGGACGTCTTTATAAATATCGTTAAATTTTAAATCAACGTTTTCTCTTATGGTATTTAACACAGAAACCACCTGGGTAACTTGTTTAAGAGCGTTAAAAAGATCGATATTTTTACTTTGTAAATATTTAGATAAATTATAAGTATAACTTAATAATTTACTAGATACGCAAACAGATATTAAAAAATTAAAATTATAAATACAATGTAAAAGACTATTAGTCCTTATTGAAGAATCCGTTCCAGAACATTCATTCTGCAGTTGTTCTAATGCAGCAAGAATGGGTTCTAAAAATTCTTTAAAAAGCATAACTGCTTCATGGCGTAATACCCATCGAGTTTCACATAAAGATTTTAATTTAGTGGATTGTGAATTTGGTTTAAAACGATCATTAAGGTGAAAGGAAACCCACTTTAGAAGTGAGCCGAGCATTTATACAATGCGTATAAAAACAATATGAAAAAAAAAATAAAAATGTCTTATTAAACCTTATGAGATATGAAGTGGTTTATGGTAAACGTATCACCCTGTGTAACTACAGAGTATGTATAAAACATTTATTTTATATGTTGGAAATACGTTACTTTCACGAGATCACTTGATATTTCCAGAACTTGAGCTTGAAATTTGGAAACGAACTTGCAGCGAACAACAATGTATCTACGTGGCCGCCAAGCATAGAATGCATCTACCAAAAATTGACAAATGGCGAACCCAACACAACAAGCATGTGCAAAAATATTGATTGATCTTTGCGTGTATTATGAATAATTAATATGGTAAAAAAAGGTGGAAAAGTGCATCGTTACTCGTCGATAGACGATAATTACAAGTTTAATATTTAGTTGCATGCATGTGCACTCATATTATATTATAATACAATTGTCGTGGTGGGTGCATATTTGAGCATTGGGCAAGCGGCACTAGGCTTCTATGAATATATAATTTTTTAATAACAGTTTTGTAAAAAGTATTTTAAAGGTCGTATAAAATATTCATGTTAATTAACCCTTAGCTAAAATTTTCCCGATAATTTCAGATGCGGTGTATTTATTATTTAGATATTTCTTTCTAGTCGCTAAATCGATGAACTAGAAACAAGCCGAAACCAATAATTAATAACTGACCTGGCTGTTATAGTTTAGCAATGGTTGACAAACCCAACCATACTAGCAATAATAGTAGCATGAAAGGTCAGGTTAGATTGTTTGCATTAGATGAATAAGATATATAACAAAATAGAACTTGAAAAAGGGAGGTTAATTTATTTTGAGTTTTAAACTTGTATAAATATTGGTTTTTTATTTAAAATTTCTTGTAAGTTATGCAGGGGCGTATTTATGGGGGGGGGGCTGAGGGGGCTTCAGCCCCCCCCCCCCGAAATTCCAGGAAATTTTTTTTAAGTCTGCCTAAGCGGCATGAGCTTATACCCTTTATCTATAGGATATAAATATTGTAGAAGTTCAGTATAGTCGTTTTAAAAATAATAAATTGCTATTTATGATTATATTTTTATAACACAACGACTGATGTTGTTATTATTATATTTTGGGCGGCTGATTTACGGGCGCCAATTGTCTTCAGTCTTGTGGCAAAGCGTAGGGATAGGAGTGATCATCGTCATATTATTTCGGTTTATTTCGCGATACATGCAGTGTACACTACTATTGTAGAGCTATTATAAATAAGTACAAACAATTAAACATCAGTAGTATATTTTATATTGGGGAAAAAATGTCAACGATAAAAAAAAAAGATTGCTATAGCCTGTATACATATATACCTACTTATATCAATAACAAATCGAACTAATCGCAGATGTTATAGAAATAATAGAATAATATTTATGTTATATAAAAATAAAGCAAAAAACGAAATGTTTTTATTTGTTTTTTGTATGGTATGTTAAGAATTGGGGGGTTTGGCTTGCCAAGAAATATTATCGAATTCATAGTATATTTTACTAATAACGTGTGTAGACGTGTGTACAGTGTTCTGTGTTCTGTGTTTCTGTTGTGTAAAATTAATTTTATTAAAATAATATAATGAAACGAACTCAGTCATTGTTAACTTTTTTTAAAAAATCTAAACAGTCAACCGATCTGGAACGAACTGTTCCATCTTTATCAAATGTTTTCCAAGATGAAGATACTGGGGCATCTGAAACAAAACAAGCCGCTTCAAGTGTAGAAGTTAGTTCTCCGGTAATTAAACATATTTTAGATTCTAAGTTCGATATAGGAGCTTATGTTGAGTTTAAATAAAATTTAAGTGACGAAGAAAAGGTTTCTATTTTACAAAACGTATGGACCCCTGATTGTAAGTTTGATTTTCCATATGATACTACTGGAAAATATAAACGTAAATTTCAAATTAAATGGCTTGACACTTTTAAATGGTTGGCTTATTCAAAATTAAGAGAAGGTTCTTTTTGTAAATACTGTGTATTGTTTTTTAATTCAAGTCAGGCTGGTAAGGGTTCTCATGAGCAGTTAGGCAAACTTGTTTTAAAACCCTTGACGAAATTGAAAGATGCATTGGAAGAATTCAGAAATCACGAAAAAAATAAATATCGTAAAAATTCGTTGCTTACCGCTGATAACATAAAGGCTATTTTAGATAAAAAACAAGATAATATATTGGTACAATTAAATAATAAACGAAAGGATGAAATTTTAAAAAATCGCGAAAAACTTAAACCAATTATTCAAACAGTTAGATTATGTGGCAGACAGCAAATAGCGTTAAGGGGACATGAGGATTCTGGTCGAATCTCTTTAGAAGAACCAAAAAATAACGATGGTAATTTCCGTTGTTTGCTTCGATATCGCGCAAAAAATGGTGATAACGTATTAAAAGAACATTTAGAAACTAGTGGTGGTAAAGCTATGTATACAAGCTCACTTATACAAAATGAAATAATTAATGTGTTTGGGGATTTAATTCAATTAAAAATACTTGAAAAAGTATCAAAAACAAATTTTTATACAATACTAGCAGATGAAACCACTGACATATCTCAAGTTGAACAATTTTCCTTATGTATTCGTTATGTTGACGAGGAAATTTTTTCAATTCGAGAAGATTTTCTCACATTTGTTCCCGTTCATGATTTATCTGGTGAAGGATTGGCCAACACGATTAAAGAAACTTTAAAAAAAAATGGGTTTGATTTAAGCAAAATACGAGGCCAAGGTTATGACGGGGCAGCAGCAATGCGTGGTCGTTTTAGAGGTGTTCAGGCAATCATTAAAGATATGTACCCAAAAGCATTATACACACACTGTGTAGCACATTCATTAAATCTTTGCTTATCAGATGCGTCTAAATCTCTAGATATTCGAAATGCTTTTGGTATAATAAGTGAATGTTGCTCATTTTTTAACTGTTCGGCAAAACGAACTACAGTCCTTAAAAATAAAATACTAGAAATTAAACCAAATTCACAATCCACTAAATTAAAATCTTTATGTGAAACTCGATGGGTATTACGCCATGAAGCAGTTATGCTTTTTAAAGAATTTTTAGAACCCATTCTTGCTGCATTAGAACAACTGCAGAATGAATGTTCTGGAACGGATTCTTCAATAAGGACTAATAGTCTTTTACATTGTATTTGTAATTTTAATTTTTTAATATCTGTTTGCGTATCTAGTAAATTATTAAGTTATACTTATAATTTATCTAAATATTTACAAAGTAAAAATATCGATCTTTTTAACGCTCTTAAACAAGTTACCCAGGTGGTTTCTGTGTTAAATACCATAAGAGAAAACGTTGATTTAAAATTTAACGATATTTATAAAGACGCCCAAGGTATTGCTATAAAGTTAAATGTTGAACCAAAAATACCTCGAACATGCAGCAATCAAAAAAATAGAAGCAATGTCCCGTTTAATAATATTGAAGATTTTTACAAAAAAACTATTTTTATACCGTATTTGGACGATTTAATAATGGCATTAAATGAAAGATTTTTTCCTCATAATGAAACTATAATTTCATTACAATTTGTCTTACCTCGTATCATAGTTGAAAAACCATTTTTTAATTTAAAAAAAGCTGTCGAATTTTATAAAAGTGATTTACCTGGGCTAAACGACATTATAGAAGCAGAGTATGAAATTTGGCAGGCTAAATGGAAAAATATTGAAGAAAACTTAAGACCTGCAACTGCTATAGAAGCTCTAAGAGCCTGTGATCGTTTAATGTACCCTAACATATTTGAATTACTAAAAATACTAGCTATAATTCCAGTATCCACCGCTACGGCTGAACGCAGCTTTTCTACTCTTAGAAGACTTAAAACATATTTAAGAAATACAACTTCTGAGTCCAGGCTAGTAGGACTAGCACTTTTATCCATTCACCGAGACATTGATGTAAATGATGATATGGTATTAGACAAATTTGCCAACAGTGGTAAAGAGAGAAATTTGAATTTAATATAATTAGTATTAATAAGAATTATAATTTCTATTTTATTATATAATATTTTGTAAGACTTGAGATTGTGTAACTAATAATAATTATATCAGAATTATAATATTACAATTTTACACTTAATTTCGAAGTCTTGTTTTTAATAGGTTGAGAAATGGGTAAGTTTGGCCAAATTTTTAAAGTTTATTTCTGGATCAGAATTTAGAAATAACTCTTTACACAGCTCTTTTAATCAATGCCTCAGCCCCCCCCCCCAAAAAAAAATATCTAAATACGCCCCTGAAGTTATGAAAGTCGAGGTGGGAGTATATTTGAGAATAATTGGACAAGTGGTACTTTTATCTTTTAATATAAATTGAATTCATTTGGTGGCTCGGCTCACTTCCTAAAGTGGGTTTCCTTTCACCTTAATGATCGTTTTGAGGCTATTAATCTATCTTTTTATGTACCTATCTAATGAATTTCGAGTTTGTTCTGACGTCCCCTCAAGGTTCAAATTTAGAGTTTGTGCTTTTTTGATCTTTTATTTATTAGTGACTTACCTCAGATATGTGATAGGTCCATAAAAATACTGCTATTTGCTATTGATACAAATTTGTATTTCGATATCAGATTCAGAAGTATAACAAAATAATTTAAGAAATACAGTCAAAAATCTAATTTTTATAATGTCATAACAAATGAACAAATATTAAATAAATAAATTCAAATTCAAACGCTAAAATATTTTTTTATTTTTTTTCTACAAATTTATGTAATTAATAACACATATTGCCATTAAAAAAAAAACAAAAATCCCCCTTTTTGGCCTACAAGGATTGGTCATAGAAATTTTCAAAATATAGTACAATGTGTACCAAAAAATCTTGAGAAAAAATATTAATATACTCCGTGAAAACTAGTGTCTTATCCTTAATGAATCACCCTGTATATGCATTACCAGATTAATTTTAATTTTGGCCACTTTTATCGTGGTTCCTGCCCACTTTATACGGGTGAAAATTAAATATGCTAAAATGTTTTATCTGATTTGATGTTACAAAGTTTTCATGTACCAATAATTTGTCGGACCCACTAGTAAGTCGCTCATACTCGGAACTTGATGCTACAACTATGGCACATGAGCTAACCTAAAACAGATTTGGGTTCCTGGAAGGTCATACAATTGTGCTTCTACGAGTATAAAATGAACACACGAATGCCTAATACCTATTCATAATGGGGTATCCTTTGTCAGTACTCCTTTGTTATCCTCTGGCTTTCCCGCAAAAACAGTCAAAATAAGTATACTTTTTCGACTGCTGCTGAACAAGATTAATTAATAGAATAGTAAATTGATTTAAGACCAGTTAAGTTTCCTTGAAGAAATAATAATATAATATATTTTACTGTCGAATAGAAATTATTATATTCTCAATTACCTAAAAAAATGTAAGAATAGGACTAAAATTGTTAAAAATTACAATGAAAATATTATTGATTTGTTTGCCGCATAAATTCTATACCACAATTGCATATTTTTTTTCATATCTCAATTACCCAAGATTTTTTATTCATTATTTTCAATATCTACATTTATTTATTATCTTTTTCCATAAACGATTAAGTGTACTTACACCTATATATTTATATATGTTGTAATATCTAACTTAACATAATGGTTAAGATGGGCGCTTCACATATCTTCCATGACATAAGTGTTATACATTAAGCAATTGTCAGTAATAGTGTAAAATGTAACTAAATAAACAGGCATGATTGCTAATCAGCATAATTGCCTAGAGTTGGAAAAAAAAGATAAAGTATCTGTATCTGTTATTATTTAACAAATTATTTTATTCTTTTACCTTAAATTAAATTTATAATAAAGATATTTAGGTTTTTATTATGACTAAAGCAAATAGCTTGATATTTATGTATATTTAGTATTTTACTCCACGCTTAAAAATTATTTTATAATATATAGTAGTTTTATGGAACTAAACGATATCTGAGGTTAATAGATAAAAGATTGGGCTTAAATTTCAACCTTAAGGAACGTAAAATTAAACTCGAAATTCATCAAATGTATAAAAAGATAGTTAAACAGCCTGAAAACGGTCTGTAAGGTAAAAAGAAAACCTTAAAAGTGGGCTACCAAAACCAAATGGCTTCTATCTATACAAAAAGATATTATTTAACTTTTTTAATTATACAAACTGTAAGAAATCATCAAGTGCCACTTGTCCAATGCTCAAATATGCTCATATCATGTCCATTTTACCTTGACAAGAATTTACAAAAAATAACCTAAATATTTATTCTGTAATAAATTATCGTCCGTAAATGAATTTAGTTGATACAAGTTTAGAACTCATAATAATAAAACTCAGCTTTTTCAAGTTCTTTTTTATCATATTTTTCTATTCATTAAATACGGCCACTTCACCTGACTATTCTTGCTCCTACTCGTATTGTTGGGTTTATCTATCATTGCTAAACTATAACAGTCAGGTCAGTTATTATTTTTTGGTTTCGGTTTGTTTCTAGTTCATCGATTTACTGACCGGAATATAAAAAATTAATTAATTAATACATCACATCTATAATTATATCTTGGAAAAAGTTTAGCTAAGGGTTAATTAGCATGAATATTTTATATGACCTTTTAAATACTTTTTACAAAACTGTTATTAAAAAATTATATATTCATAGAAGGCTAGTGCCGCTTGCCCAATGCTCATATATGCATTCATCACATCAATTGTATTATAATATATTATGACTGTACATGCATGAATATTAATATTAATCTTGTAATTATCGTCTATCGACGAGAAGTTGATACATGTATAGATTTTATAATTTAACAATGCACTTTTCCAAGTTCTGTTTTTACCATATTTGTTATTCATCATGCACGGAAGCTATTAATTGTCATTCTTGCTTCTGCTAGTTGTGCTGGGTATGCCGTTGTCAAACATTGCTTTATTTGTTCTATGATTGCCGGCCACATTGATACATTGTTACTCGTTGCAAGTTCTTTCTCAAAGTTCAAGCTCAAGTAATTGTAGACAAATCTTCTGATCTCCTGTAAGTAACGTATTTTAATCTAATATATAAAACATGGTTTATATATTTGTAGTTTATAAGGGTGCTCATTTTATCATAAACAACTCCATATCTCATAAGGTTTAATAAGAAATTAATTTTTTTTTCATATTGTTTTTATACAATGGGTTCTCAATTACCCAAAACATTTTTTTCGCATTTTTTTTATAGCATCTTTTGATACTTAAATGGTAAAGCATACATTTCATTAACTTATTATATTGAGATTAATGTACTAAACATTTTAACTGTTTAATATCCAGTTTTGAACAATTATTTTTACAGTTTTAAGAATTTTAATGTTAGGCTGGAAGGAGTAGTGCAGGTGGGTACTGCGCACACATAAAAATTATACTATTCACCACTTTTCTCCAGCCTTAAACTTGAATTTTCAATCATTTCACAAATGGTAACCCAAAACTAATTATCGACAGTCAGTGATTAGTGACAATCATTCTCAATTTTAAAGGTTAGATGTATGAATAGGACTAAAATTGTTAAATATACAATGAAAATATTATTGATTTGTTTGCTGCATGAATTCTATACCAAAATTGCATATTTTTTTTCATATCTCAATTACCCAAACCTTTTTTTTTCGGCTCCCCCACTCAGCTTAAGTTTTATTATAGCAACATTTGAAACCCAAATGGTAACGCATACATTTGGACTGATTGATAAAATGTTTTGAACAATTATTATTAAAATTTTAAGAGTTTGGAAGTTAGACTAGGAGAGGAAGTGTAGGTGGGTATTGCGCACAGATAAAAATAATACTATGCACGTCCTATCATCCAGCCTAAAACTTGAAACAAATCGAAGATTAATGACGTATTCTCAATTTTAAAGGTTAGATGTGTCAGACTATAGGACTAAAAATAAAATAATTATAAAAACACTTGACCATAAAAATTATACACTATCCGCGAATACGTCGTATTTCGATGGAAAGTTGGCTTTCCTTAATTTACTAATTAAAAGAATGAATAATAATTTAGGTTTTGAGATTTATCGTAGGAAAACGCACACATTTAGGTACATTCCGAAAAATTCAAATAAGATTTGGGTTCCTGGAAGGTCATACAATTGTGCTTCTACGAGCATTAAATGAACACACGAATGTCTAATATCTATTTATATTGGGATATCCTTTGTCAGTACACCTTTGTTATCCTCTGGCTTTCCCGGAAAAACGGTCAAAATAAGTGTACTTTTTCGAATGCGGCTGAACAAGATTAATTGATAGTATAGTAAATTGATTTAAGACCAGTTAAGTTTCCTTGAAGAAATAATAATATAATATATTTTACTGTCGAATAGAAATTATTAAATTCTTGCTTCCGAAGCTTACATAAGTTGTGATAATGGATTTTATTGATATTTATTATTATTATCATCATTTTTCAATATCTAGTGATTATAGATTTTATGTCTGCAATAGAATCTGCAATCGATTTGACTGAAAAATACAATTTTAAATCATCAGAAAATAGTAGTAGTTTTATGGAACTATCGGATATCTGAAGTTAATAGATAAAAGATAAAAAAACAGTGGGCCTAAATTTCAACCATAAAGAACCTGAAATTACATTTGAAATTCATCAAATTTATAAAAAGATAGTTAAACAGTCTGATAACGGTCTGCAAGGTAAAAGGAAACCTTAAAAGTGAACTACCAAAACCAAATGACTTCAATCTACACAAAAATATATTGTTTTAACTTTTTAAATTTTACAAACTGTAAGTAATCATCTAGTACCACTTGTTTAATGCTCAAATAGGCTTCTATCATGTCCAATTTACTTTGACAAGAATTTACAAAAAATAACCTAAATATTTATTCTGTAATAAATTATCGTCCATAACTGAATTTTAGTTGATACAAGTTTAGTTCTCATAATTATGAAGCTCCACTTTT